GAGATTTGCAGCAATTCCTTATCTCTCTATGTGAAAGAATAAAGCCTGGGCCCTTTACTACCACTCCCTGTCATCCAGGGACCAGGCTGCTGGGAGATTTGTGCCAGATGCTGCTTCTGAAAGCACAGCCTCATCAGTAGGACAAGGAGCTCTCATCTCCACTGCAGGGCTGTGTACTTTCACTGTGTGTGTGTGTGTGTGTGCTCTTTGATGTCATGCAATACACTGTGTCCCCCAGGTGTTCCACACCACACCAGGATTGTGTATTGAGAAATCCTCCTCCTTGTCATTGCCACTTACATGCTAGCTTTTTACACCTTCCATCCTTTGAGGGACCCTCAGTGTCCTTGCACAACTTTAGCCCCTTTTACACAGAGATCGCAGCAAACTGCTGGTGTTTTGACCCTTCTCAAGCTCTTCTTTTGGCTCTCTCAGTCACTGTTGCTCTCTCTCATTCGGCACTCTGACCCCCATTCCGTCTCACTCCAAACTCATCTTGACAAAATCGCTGTACTACCTTTTGTGGCAGAGTTCTGGACAGTCAACATTGACACTTCAAAAATGTTTATTTTCTTTCTAAAATGTGTATGTGGAATGACATGTATGACATTACATATTCAGAATATGGCCATCTGCTTGATCTTATATTTCTCTGATCCTAACATTGTAGTATATAAACATCACACTTACTCTGGCTATAGCACCACATCAAATGAAAATGTTCCAGATATTTCTAGTATTTTCTGCTCCCTAAAAATCTGCCTGACATGTCAAGTGAACATGAGGGTTTACAGAACATATAATACTGCACATTGTTATGTTCCCAAACACATTCAGTCTCATTTCATGGTTCACCAAGCATGTGAAGGATTAGGGTGAGCAGATGAAGCTGGTTTGTTGTGTCAGAGGTGATTTCTTATCAGTGACAGAGCTGCAGATCAACTGGAGGCCTAAGCTGACAGCCTTAATCAAATGGGAAGCCAATAATGGCAACCAAGTCAGTTAGCATTTGTAGGTATTGTCTGTATGTTAGGCACATAATGAGCTACTTTATGCAGAGGATGTCATAAGAGTAGCCCCCTCACCACCTCTGTTGTTTGTTTTCTATTATAAAGGTACTGTGTGGGTCTATCTCCATGTAGTAATCACTCTAAACATGAAGTAATTCCCCAAATTACATATTTTGGAGCCTCTTATGTTCAGATGTTATTGTTTTGGTTTGTATTATTTGAGAACAATACTGTAGAAATTATTAAAAGGGATTTGCAAAAACCTTTTTTCTATTCCTCGATGTAAGGTATCGGAAACATTATGGTATTGGCCCCAAGGTATCGGAAACATTATGGTATTGGCATAATATAAACATATTGCATTTTAGTGGAGAAGTTAATCTGTCATTTTGTAATTGTATTTGTTGTTAAACTGGGAAAGTCTCTCTTCATGCCCCCTTTTGCTGTTCATCCATCTGACAAGCCAGTTATTTGGGCTCTTGTTCAGTCACAGCTCTGACTGGACAGGTCTGTCAGCACATCCAAATAATGTAGATTGGTGTTTTTTTTTCTTTTTTGTCTGAATAAATTAGCTTTGTATCATCCACACACAGACAGCAGATGGTCACAAATGTATGCATACACACACAAACAGGCAGCAGTTTTGGTTTTCAGGGTCCATAGATCACGGGTCATGTGTGTTTGTGCTTTAGTCCATGCAGCATAAAGTCACAACAGGAACAGACAAGACCAGTCCCAGGTTGGTTTTGGAAGTCAAATCCCTAGCAACCCCCCAGTGCTAATCGGATTAGCTGAAAAGTTAGCAGCATGGCCCCAAAGAAACAACATTTTTGACACCCACATATTTTGCTCTCCAGTCTCCATAATCTGCTTCTTGTCTCAAAGCTGTCTTGCATCATCTTTGCCACAGCAAACTACTACTTGGGTACATGATGAACCGTTTTTAACCCCTGCTTTGGGCACATAAAACCATCCTTTGGTTGACCGGTGGCTGGGCTATATATCTGTGTGTGTGTGGGGGGGGGTCTGGTCCACCCAGGTGGGGGAACAATGGTGTGCCCGTTGTCCTAAAAGGAATGGTTGGCTGAGCATAGGCCCAGACAGAGGAGGGAGGGAAAGAAAGAAAAAAATGAGTTTTGAAATGACTGGTGTTGAGGGGGGTGGGGGGGTGACAGGGTAGTGATGGGGGAGCATTCGGCTGAATGGGGCTCCTTTCAGCCAACATGAGCTCTTCCTCTTGCTAATTGTGTTTCGTTTATTTTTCAAAACCAATAAATAGTCAAAAATTGTTCTTTTTTACTGTCACTCAGTATCTTGCAACAGTAAAATTCAGCAGTTTTCCTGGACAATACAGTTGTATAGTACACCTAAAATGTGGCCTGCATTAATATCAGTAAGCATAATACACTTTGGGGCGACTGTGGATCAGTGGGTTGAGCAGTCGTCTCCCAACTGGAGGATTGGAGGTTCGAATCTCAGTGCCTGTAGTACACGTGTCGAAGTGTCCTTGGGCAAGACACTGAACCCCCAAGTTGTCCCCGCTGGTTAGAGCCATTGGTTGAGTTGGCACTGCAGATGGCGGCCATCGGTTCTGTACCGGAAACAAATTCCTTGTGTATAACATACTGTAGGGCAGCATGGTGGCGCAGTGGTTAGCACCGTTGCCTCACAGCGAGAAGGTTCTGGGTTCGAGCCCCACCCAGGACCTTTTTGTGTGGAGTTTGCATGCTCTCCTGCGTGGGTTCTCTCCGGGTACTCCGGCTTCCTCCCAAAGACATGCAGCTTAGGTTGATTGGTGTCTCTAAATTGCCCATAGGAGTGCGTGTGGTTGTTCGTCTATTTGTTAGCCCTGCGATGGATTGGCTCCGGTGACCCCGTTCAGGGACTAAGCGATAGAAAATGAAAAATGATGTTTCTGGGTTAAGACAGTACAGCATTCTTTTTATGGTTTACTGTGGTGTTTTGTATCATGTTCTGTATTTCCTAGTGTTCAGTAGTGGGTAGTAACTAAGTACATTTACTTAAGTAGTGCACTTAAAGGACTGCTCCAACTATTTAGAACTGTTTTTCTATAACATTGTGAGATTTAAGATGAGCAGTTAAAAAATAAGGAACAAAATCGATGCAACAGAACCAGAGATGTCATTTTGTATTCCACACGTTCTTCCTTTTCAAAATCTGCCCTTTATACAATTAACAGTGAAATGCAAACCTCCATTTCCAGTTATAGACTCTTATTGGCTTGAACTTCCATTGTCCTGCTCACATCTCACATGCTTCAACTTTACCTGGGTCAGTCAAGCACAGCTGTTGCCAATCTAACCATCAGTTTACCTTGCATATAAGCCATCTTTCAGACCTTGCTCCTTGTTGGATTGTAGACAGCTGTGGTCCTTGTCTGCCTGTGTGCGCTATGTTGTTGTTCTATCACCCGGAGTGCACAAGTTAACTGTGACTCTTCACATGTGGAATGAGTCTGGTTAGCTCATGCACTTTTGTTCATGCTGTTTTCCTATCTCACATTTTTGCTACCAGAGTTTGCCTAACACCACTCAGTGTTGTTGCTCACGGGTTGCCTTGCTTGCCTTATCTTTATTACTTGAGCTCGGATAAATAGTGCACTGGGTGTGGAGATGCACACATTTTAAATGTCCTGAGTAAGGACTTTGTTTTACTCACAGACTTGACTTTGACTAAGATAGCGCTAATTTATTTTCCTGATATTACTTTTGTTTAAGAGAACGGTCAGGATTGTTTTGGTTATTGTTTGCCCTGAATAGAGAACTTTGCACTGGACTTTGTGTCCTTCATTTAGTATTCGGCTAACTCCTACGCATTTATAGTTCACATGTTGCCTGCTAAACTCTGTTCATGTTGACAAGGGTCTTGTTGTCTACAATGAAGGGTGTATTAAGTCTACTCACCATAAGCAAGTACTGCGGTGTTATCCTGTCATTGTGTACAGTAAATGCGCTGTTACCTGGAGTATCCGCTTGGTGTCTTGCAATTGAGTGCACTCTAATGCAAAACTTGACACATTATTTTAAGTGACTAATATTACCACTTGCCTGTGACTACTAGCATGTAAAACATAAAGATAACTGTCATCTCTTCTTAAACAGCAGATCTGGGTAGTTATAATCCTGAATCAGAGGCCATTGCAAGTTTTCAAGACAAATTGGTCTGCAGAGATCATAGTGGGTGAAGTCAGTGACAGGAAGAAACAGTTCCTTTTCTATACTTAAAGTCCTATAGACACATGTAGGAAACCAAAAGCTGAGTGTAAGCGGAAGCATGTGAGCTAATGAAAAGAGGCTGCACTTTAATAGTCAAAACAGCACAACATAAAAATGTCTTGAACATCACACAGTGACACCTGACAGTGGAGGGTGGGGATTGGAAGGGAGATACCTCTATCTTGCAACACAACTCCAAACCAGATCAAGCAGAGAAAATAGACATTTTTTTGGCCATCTTGTTTCCTTTTGTCACTGTGAAAACTGGCCCCTCTCTAATCGCAGCCAAATCCAACATGGCTAAGAAAGCGCTCAGCTCTCTGAATCAACAGACTAGTGTCAAATTGGCTAGCCTTCCCATGCCTGCATTCCCTGGATGATGCCTAGGGAACTGATGTTCTGGCCAAGATGTGGTTTTGTGGTTACAGTCAGCCAGGCAGAAGGAGATGAAAATTATGCCATGTGGACAAGAAGTCGTTTCTTTTTTTGTTCTGCTAACATGGCAGACTGGCTCCAGATTGGCCTGGAAAGACAGTGAAACAGTGAGAACAGTCCTCTCCAAAATATAATGTGGATTAGAATTGTGGGTCAAAATTAGAGTGATACAAGTAAGAAGTAATCATGGGTTCAAGTAACATTGCAGTGCCATTTTATATTTAGTTTATAGCCTTGAATGGTTCATCAATAATATGGGACTGTGGTACAGTAACTGCAATGAGCATGGAGTTTATGTTTATGCCTGTGTATTTTTCAGTGTGGACCAAGGTGGAGCTGTCTATGCATGAGAGTGTTGAAGTGTATCTGGGTGACTCAGCTCAGATCCCCTGCCAGTACAGCTTCACCAATGGATACAATATGTCCAGCTTTGTCATGATCCAGTGGTTTGTGGTGAGTACTGCCGGAACCAAAGCAAAAACCGACGCTGTCTGAAACAGTCGAACTGCTTATGTGTAGGGTATGGCTGGGGGTGGTTGAAGTTTAACTGCAAAACAGACTTTAGAACATATTTACTGACATCTAACAGTAATAAATATCAGTTCTTTTCCAGGACATTCAAGACTATAAAGATCGGCTACATGACATATTGATTTATATTTTACAGAGCTGGGCCACCCCTGTGAAATGTATATAGCAGAAATGCGGTACATTGATGACGAGATGAAATGCGTCAGGATCAGCCTGATTCAGTTCAGCATGTGGCAGTAATTGATCAATCACGTCATATGTTAGCTTTGCTTTGATTAATTAGAGCAGCACCTCAGAATGTCTGGATTAAAAAAAACACCAGCTGGACACACATTTTAACCATCATTCCTGTAAGCAAAACTGGCCACTATGAACCAAATACATGAGCAAAGTTTCCACTGATTTAACCCTAAAATACTGCATGTCCAAGATGCCAGCATGATGTGAAAGTTGGAGTGTGTCCTGCTTTTGTTCTCCTGCAGAGTTTTGCCGGTAACAATTCACGGGTGCGGATCTTCTACGCTGATGGCAATCAGCAGATTGCGGACAACAACACAGAATACACTGGTCGCATCACAGTGACTTCAGACCAGAAGGGAGCTCAACTCACCATCCAAGACATCCAGATCTCTGACAAGAGGGAATTTTTCTGCCAGGTTAATGGGCTGGCTGCTGGGAATGCGGAGGGCAAGACCCATCTCAGAGTGTTTGGTAAGGAAGCCCACCAAACACTCTGAGCTACAGACACATTTTCATTTGAAGGACAATTCAAAGAATGCTTTTGAGAATTGCCTTTGTTTCATAATGCAGTTATTTATTATAAATGTCTGAAGTGAATATTTTTTCTGATTCAGCTCGCCCGGAGGCTCCAGTGATCGAGGGTGTTCTTGATGGAATATCTGTGACCAACAAGCACCCGTCAAAGGTGGGTCTTCTTAATCTTGGACACTGAGTTGAACCAATAAAATAATGTTCAGGATTACCACGTTAAGTATACATGAGAGTGTTACTAAAATCTCAGTTTCTCTTCGGTATTTATGTTTCTTATTTACTGCAGCTAAAGATTTGTCTCCATCCAGGTTGCATCATGTGAGGCTCGTAACGGCTTCCCTAAACCCAACATCACCTGGTACAAGAATGGCGTGCCACTGATTTCTAAGCCAGGACGTAAGTGCAAACAGTACAATGTAGTATGTGTGATATATTAGCTACTAAACACCAACATATTTTCATGGATGAGTGTTAGTACACTGATGTTAACATCGAACCTAAGTGCCAGTGTGTCTAAGTCCAGCTCACAGAGCTGCTAGCATGGTTCTGAAATCTTACTTGATATGGCACTTAACAGGTGAGCATGAAGACATTAAGTGCACCTGCCACAGTCACCTGATTACATAATCAGTTTTGTGACAGTCAAACTATTTGTACATTTTTTTGGCCTCTATTGTATGAAAATCATTTACTAGTAGTGTTACAGTATATATCTGTATTGTCTTGGCCATACTGCAGATGTAAAGATGTTGATTCTGGTGACACGGGAGTACAGTGGCTTTTACTCCGTCCAGAGCACACTAGAGTACAAGGTGGTCAAGGAGGACAAGGATGCCCTTTTCTCCTGTGAGGTCAGCTTCTTTGTTCCTGGAGCTGTCAGGACAGTCGAGTCCGACAGCATCAACATCACTGTTCACTGTGAGTAAACATGGAGCTTGTAGGTAACTTACTGTAAGTGCTGCTTCTGTCTTTAGAACATCCTATATCACTTTTGGAACAGTAACAAAGATACATTACTTTCATTCAGGGTAAAGTTAGCTGCTACTTAGGGTTTAGTTAGCCTGCTATTTAGGTGAAGGTCTAAGAGGCATAGGGCCAAAATTCTTACTTCCTTGGACTCCTTGGCTCAAGACATAGTCTGCTATTTTGATCTATCATTTCCCTGATTGTTTGTTTAACAAATCCCTTTGAAAATTATACATCATAAATCATTATAGTTTTTTAACCAGTGCTTAACTACAATATTATGAGCTGAAAATATTTTAAAGCTTTTATCAAATGTGTGACATTTTAAAGCTGTAAAATTGTCCTGTTGTTACATTTCTGTTTTGCATTATTAGATAATTTATAGTGACTATTTAACTTTACCCTATTTTTGTCCCTGGTAGGCTAGTGGTTCAAATCAGCGTTGCGTCAGGAAGGGCATCCGGTGTAAAACACGTGCCAAATGTCAACATGCGAGTCGTCAGTGTGACGATTTGCTGTGGCGACCCCTAAACGGGAAAAGCCGAAAGTGACTTTCTATTTAACTTCATCCTCTTTTTATGTCTTCATTACATTTATTGTTCCATGATTCCTGTTGTAGTCAGTGGTTTTGATGATTTGTACTAAATCCTGTCCTCCTGTTTTTTATAGCATTTGATTTAACCTACTCACTGGGGGCATCCGTGGTGGGAGATATTTGTTTTTCAGTAGGATGTAACAGATGCTAATGCACTGGTCAAACTTGCAAGTTGTTATTGGAATATTCATAAGATGCGCACGTTAGGAACATTACAACCAACGCAGCTGTGGATGTGCTAATTATGACTTGTTAATGTTTATGTAAAACACAGTGCTATGCAGAGGTTCAAGGTTCAGATTATTTAGTGCAAAGTATTTTTTCTTAATTTGCTGTGTTCTCACTGAAGGTCTGTATTTCATAGTTGTGCAGGAAAATTCTGTTCCCTGTGATTTATATCCAGCTCTACAGTATAATTGCTTTCAAATGTTTTAGTCTTAATGAACTAAGCTAACAACAGCCAGTCATTTAAAGCTTAACTCGTAATATGAATTAAAAGGCAGGATGTTTTAGTGATTGCTGTATGCATTTCTTTTTTAATTTGCCTTTCTGAGTCCCCCAATGTTAAGGACTGCAATACTAAATCTCAGGAATACCTCTTTAAACCTTGTGCTTGGCATTGTATCATTTTAAATTCCCAGCCTCTCTCTTCTGTTGGTCCATTGTTGTTTGAAATTGTTTTATTAGGATGCTGTGGCTGGCTGAGCCAAACAGTCTTTGCTGTCAGCACTGTGGAAACTTCTAAAAGTGACTTTAGCAGCTCGCTGAACAAGCCTGCTTAATTTGATTTTGATTTTGTGTGTGTGTGTGTGTGTCCAGACCCCACCACCATGGTGAAAATGTGGAAGGAGTCGCCCCAGGGCTTGGTCAAAGAGGGGGATACTGTGAAGCTGCGTTGCCAGGGTGATGGCAACCCCATTTTCAACAGAACACAAGTAAGAATGGAAGGCCTTTTCTCACCCTAGAAGTCCCCAAGAGAAAATGGGTGACACACAGGAGACATGTAGGGAATGTTTTTGATATGCATAGCTCACAGGGCCCCCATGTAGACATGAGTGTGCAAGGTCTGTGAAGGCTCTGTCAGCTCTGACCCTGCAGATCCAGGCTGAAGGTTGAGACCAGAGGCCACATTGACAGGGCTCATGGGTAGGACTCATTCCCATGTCAGACACACATTCATTGTATGTACAGACAATGCAGAACCTCAGCTAACTGCCATTTTTAATTTTTGTTAACTGGCCGGTCAGTAACAAGCATATTTTGTGTTGTAAAAAGTAGTGATGGAAAATTGTTTGTTCTTCATCCTTTGTTATGATAGATTATTTTACTCACTCACAGAATTTATAGCTGAGATGTGGAAACACATGGACAGTGTTAGCCACTGCTTTAAACGGGTAAAAGTCTATGAAGACTTTATCTATAAAGTTCATTGCACCAGAAACCTCATTTGTTGTATGGATGAAAAAGATGATGATTATTATAAACTATTACAAAATCCCTGCTCTGTTTTTGTGTCAGATTCAACTTATTTTGACTTTTGCTTCAGAGATTTATATTAATATCTGACTGGTACTAGAGGGAACATCCTCCAGTGTCATGGTAATCCACCAGTTACACTTTGGGATATTGTGTAAACTATGGCGGGTTATTAGAGTTCATCTAATGGAGGAGATGTACAACTATAGCCAGTTTTGTAGAAATTCATCCAGTACCTGCCAAGAAATTTCACTCAGGATCAAAGACCAGTGAACTGGACGGACCAATAAAAATGCATTACTCAAGCAGTTGTTTATGTCCAGTGTCTGAGATTTAACTTTGTAGCTTACTTTTGACCAAACATACTCATCATAGATGTATACACATACAGATGTCTTAGAGTCTGACCACCACTCTAATGGATTCCAAGGTAAACTGTATCTGCCTTTGTAGCTGTGTCCCTAGAGCTCAGCAGTCAGGCTAGTCAGTAGATGTTACCATAATGGCTCAAACTATGAGAATAAAATAGATGTTTTTTTCTGTATCCTAGCCTATAAATAGGTTTCACATGTAATCAGATTTTTATTTTCACAGTTGAAAGTGATTTCATGTATATTTGGGAAAATTATTATTTTTAAATTGGTAACCAGAGCAGGATTTTTTTGCATATTTGATCACACTCTTATGAGGACACCAAAGATTATATATTGTACTAGTGGGTGGTTTAGATTCATCACCTGTTTTCCACTCAGGTTCTCTTTTTGCCAAATAAAATCTAAGGAACTCAGTCTAAGTAATTCTAAGGTCTGCAACTGACCCCAGAAGGGCTAAGATGCATAACAGTTCAGGCATTTAATTACATTTTTGTTGGAAAAATTACATCTCAGAACATAAGAATTTGTTGCAGGAACCGGATAAAGACTTGAAGGGCAATGGTGATTCACTGATCCTGCCACCAGTGTCACGGAAAGACAGTGGCATCTACCAGTGTCGCCCTCTGGACATTGATGGAGACACCAAGGTCAAAGGAGAAATGCAGCTGACTGTGCACTGTGAGGAACGATCACACATACACACATGGACTGAAGCATATATGTGTTACACAACATGTATTTGAAACTGGTTTAGAGACAGGAACAACAAAGATTATATATTCTTCATGAGATTCATATTGATAATTTCATCTTAATCTCAGAAAGAAAGCAAATAAAATCTGTTGTACTGTTGCATTCAGTCTTTTCACACTGTCCTCTCTGTTTTGTTGGTGTTTGTTGGGTTTAGATTTGGATCCAGCTGTGGTGGAACCTAAAGACTCAGAACTTGTGGTCAGAGGAGAACATCTGATTGCAACGTGCAATGCTCTGTCCTCCCTGAAAACACACGTTGTCTGGTACAAGGTAGTGCACATTAGCCTTTAGTACACATTAGATCAGATTTAATGCAAACAGCAGGCAGTAAAAGGGTAAAAAAGATGTTTAGACTAGTTAAAAGCATAAATAGTTGCACTAGTCAGTTGTAATATTAATTTACATACCAAGACATTTCAGTACAGTGCCTTACCATTTAATTGATTCTTTTTCAGTATAGTGCACAGTACAATATACTCGTCTGTAATTGAGAATTTAAAAAAATATCATTGTGGGCCTTCAGAATCTAATATTCATATACAGCATACATTTAGCAGTGCAATCATAATGACAATTCCAGCATGCTGATGTTTAGCTGTTGTAATGTTTACCATTTTGACCATCACAGGTGTGTTGGTTGTGTGTCAGCTAACATTAGATTGACCATCCTTAATTGCCAGCATCACCTGTTTTCATTTACTGATTGCACTGAATATGTGTTTATGTGTCTGTGTAGGATGGGAAGCAGGTAGGTCAGAATAACACACTGCCCCTGAATGATGCCACCTATGAGACAACAGGAGAGTACACGTGTGAGGTGTCTGTTCCCTCCTTCCCTGCCCTGCACACCAGCGGATCTGTTCACATCATTGTCCATGGTCAGTCGTCCCCTACACCATTTTACCAACTTGTCTGTACTTGTGGCACCAAGGGAAACGTCCAAAAAATACTTTTTTTTTAAGAATGCTCTACATTAAGTGCTGAAGCCAAAATAAATTTTGTCATTAGGTATGTTTATTTTTTCTTTTCACATTTCCAGTTTGTGCAAGGAAAGATGTAAAAAAAAAAAAAAATACAGCAATTTTTTTTTTATATATTTGGATGAGATGAAATGATTGTATATCCAAAATCTAAAATGCAACACTGTACATGCTGAAGGAATATTAATAGATCTTAGATCTTGCCCAGTCAATTTATTTGAATTGAAATAAGGATAGGATGGCACTGGTGTTTTGCGAGTGTGGCATT